TAACTTTTCACCTCAGCCGCTGCTATATCGAAGACTTCTCCCCTCTGCAGTCTGGAGCAGCCGGACAGACACTTTCACCGTTTATCATCTCTCTCCTGTCAGACTGCTGCGCCATGGCTCCTCTCATACGGTCACTGATATTATCGACCAAGGGCTCCTCTGTCTATCTCTGTATGACTCACATATCTCTTACAGGGCAAACTCGAGAAAAATGAAGCAACGTCAAACTGTTAAAACAGAAAAGCAGGTACTAGTATGGCACGCAATTGTAACATTTATGCTGTAAAATTAGTATTTGTAGCAAGTAGTATTTATTAATATATTGGCAGTTCATATTTTTAATTACTAGGAATTAATCTAATAGTGAGTAGACTACTGTTTTATATTACATTTGATCAATAATACCATTCATTCGATAGGTTCTACTGGAACATATTCCGATACTGATTATAATCTATTAAACTAGTCACTAGTAATTACTCTTTTTGTATTCTTCACTGTCCCGAGTGACATGTACTATTCAATACTATTCCATTCATTGGTAACAAATTACACACTTGTTGTAATTGAAACTTATGGAAATTTGTGGTTCAGATATCAACTTTTTTTTCTATTTAATATGTATTTCCGATTGATCTTATTTTTAGTTACTAGTAACTATCCCTATCCATTCCAGTTTGACTAGAACCTAATATAGTAGGCTATCTATGAGACAGTTATTACTAGTAGCATTTTTAATCTTGCTAGTAATATTTGTATTGCAATATAATATTGCATTTGTTTTAGTAGTAGGCTAGTCTAATATTTGTAATATATTTAATTAAGTAAAACGCATTTGCAATGAGCGAGATATTGTGAATAAATGTTAATCCAGCTTGCCATAGTAGTCTACCAGTGTGTAGTGAACAGAAATATTGCAGGAATGTCACACGGACGTTTCTAGTCGTTTCATCATCATGCGTTGGTCATTCTAATGTCATGTATGACATGGAGACGTTTTGCGCTGCTAGTTTTTACGCACCGAACTGCACGTCAGCCGCGGAAGAACACAGCTCGACCTTCATCGCGATTTATAGTTTTCCTTATACAATATGCGTTGTTGTTGTTTTTTTATCTATTTTACAAGTTTTTTTTTTTTTTATCCAGAGTGGCTTGTCGGTTTGTAGCCTACTCCTCCTATAATCATTTTAATTTAAAATCATTTACATTTAAAATATAAAATAGTCATGGTTTCAGTAAATATATATATACTTACCAAAATCATGACAAGTCATATTTTTGTAATAAATAGAATTTTTGATGTAATATGTCCACTTAAACTTTGACAAGCATCATACATCAGAAATTACACCCACATTTGCAGCAGAAAGACAATGCTGGCCATGCAGATATGTTGACCCAGAAACAAGGGGACAATATGACAGTCTTCAACCCCGTCACACCTTGTCACATTAATATATTTGGAAAAAATAGGGAGACAATTGAGAAAAAGTATTTCTTGCTGATTACCATCTGACATGTTAAGGACTAAAACAATAAAATTGTGGTTTTAGTTAAAAACCACTTCTAAATTACATTTTATTTTTATTTTATATTTTGTACAAAAATAAAGAGACCAAAGAAACACAATTTTTATATTTTTAGCTTCAGTCCTATAAAAATGTGAAAGTTACAATAAATGTTACATTTGATATCATTAAATTGCTATTAGGGACACATGAGCAGTAGGTAGATGTTTTTTATTTTATTTATTTTTTGATTATAACAAGTTCAAGGCCTAGCGTGTTACCTGGGGTCAGAGATCACTGTTGCATCACTGAATGCAGAGGAAGGATTCTCCCTGGGTTGATCACTGCTTGATCCAGCAGATGGAGAACTCATTTTAGAGTATGTGTCTTCCCACTCTCATTTATCAAAGAGTGCTTAGAGACTGATTTCAGACCTTGTATAGAGATAAAAGAATACAGAACATTTGTATAGTACAATGATCCCGTTGAATGAAAAAACAGGGCCGTGACCACCATAGACATTTAGGGAAACAAGTTCCCCCAATAATTATAAATGGCCAAATTGTTTTATTGTTCACAGAAGCAGAGCACAAATTCCAGTTTGTAGCATCAGTTTTAAAGGGTTAGTTCACCCAAAAATGAAAATTCTGTCATTAATTAGTCACCCTCGTGTCGTTCCAAACCCGTAAGACCTCCGTTCATCTTCGGAACACAAATTAAGATTTTTTGATGAATTCCGAGAACTCTCTGACCCTCCATAGACAGCAAGGATCCTAACACGATCATCGTTAAAATAATCCATGTGACATCAGTAGTTCAACTGTAATTTTACAAAGTTACGAGAATACTTTATAATAACGACTTTATTCAACAATTTGTCTCCTCCGCGTCACCCTAGCGCCATTTTGGAGAGTATCCACTGCATGGATGCAACGTATGTACGCAGATACATTGTTTACATTCAGATCAAAGCGTAAACAGTGTAAACAATAGGGGTGTAACGATCCATCGATATGGATCGATACATCGATTAAATGTCTAACGATACAATGAATCGATGCCACACGTAAAATATAGATATCTGTAGTATAAATAGGCACCTTATTTTGACACTGTCCACATTTTAACCAATGTCTGTCTATGCATCACCGCCAACGTGTGCATTCTCGTTCAAATGCACGTCGGGACGATAAGACTGGCTGAAGGGCGAGCGTAAAAGATGCTCGGGATTAGGGCTGTGCAATTAAACGAAAAACAGTTTCGATTTTGGCCTCCAACGATTATGAAAATACAATAATCGAGATAAAACGATTATTGCGCCCCATTCCACCCCCTTTCCAGCGCTGCGCTTTCGTTCCTCCATAAAAGCCCAATTTCACGTGCAAATCAGTAAAATCATGTAACGTGACTTTTACAAAATGGGACGTGCTTGATTTATATAAGTATGTTTATTCATGTTTTCAAAAGCGTGAAAGAGAACTTGCACTGCTCCTCAGGAAGATATATGCGCTCAGAGACAGAACAGAACACGGACATGTAAAGTCATCTTTTAGCTCAAGGTGCGCGCCTAAACGGTCAAATACACGCAAAAATGTTTCAAAATGCGGTGCTTAGTGATTATATACCTTCGTCGGTCATGTAATAAATGAACGTAAAACGTTGAGAATTAATATACGCGTGTAACGGTAAATTGGATCCGTGCGGCTCTTAAAAGTGACTATTTTCCTGCTGCGAAATTCAAAATCACACACTGCTCTTGAGTGAAGGACTTTTGTAGCTTTAATAAGAAACAAAAAAGTTTAATTCTTACAGTGAAGACTATGCTGTTTTATTTTACATTTACATATTCATTTCTGTAGTAGGCTGTAAACTGCTTGAGACTTGCATAAAAAAACATTAAAGCACAGTTTGTTTAATTTGTATCTTTTTATTCTACTGTATATGTACTTTGCTTTTTTATTACTGACAGTTTAATTATTTTCAATAATTTTGAGGACTTTTTGTTTGTTTGTTTGTTTGAAATTCCGCTGGTCTCTACAATGTAGACGTCATAGCAACCTTATTTACAGGAAATATATATTTGATATGTATCACTATCTTTAAATAAATCACTCATATAAAGTTTTGGTCATATGGCCCCCTAATAATCGTGATTACAATATTGACCAAAATAATCGTGATTATGATTTTTGCCATAATTGAGCAGCCCTAATATATTTTTTTATTTTATTCCAGTCAATGTTTATATTGTTTCAAATAAATGTTTTGTTTTATGGTTTTAGTTAACTATAACACTGATACAAATTAGATAAATATTATATATGCATATATAATACTTTAATATTTTATATAAACATATATGTGCTGATGTTATTCAATGTTTATGTTAATTATTTGCAAGCAAAAGGTGCCAGCACATGATGCAACACATGTATAAATTATTATCGACATTGCAGAGAAGGACATTTTCCACAAAACTATATAGAGATCATTGTTATGCTGTGGTCCATGACCTGTTTGTCTGTTTCAGAAAACAGAATGGTGGACAAAAACAACCGCAAAAACTCCAGGGTGGCGTCTCGTGCGTCCAGAAAGGTTAAAGATTCCTCTGATGAGAGAACAAGCAAGTACTTCCAAGACAGTGAAGTTAAAACATGAGTGACCACAGTGAAGAGATGAGCCCCATGTTCACAGAGCACTCATCACCATCAAAACAAATCAAAGAAGACGAGGAAGAAAATGAGGATGAGGAGGACTGGGAGGAAGTGGAAGGTACATAGTGTTTTTTGTGAATCATTAGTAACCAGACATGTTTAGATTCAGTATCACAAGTCAGTAACTGTCCTCTATGCGGTCATGTTTAATGTAAAATATGTGAAAAATAATGTGTTTTTCGAACAACCTAGTATGAGAGCCTGTTCTAGTACACCCCCAAAACAAAATCAAGACTTTGTAAAAGAGCATAATAGGACCCCTTTAAAGAAATTAATGCTTTTATTCAGTAAGGACACATTCAATTGATCAAAAGTGACAAAAAAAGACATTTATGTCAAGGTCACAAAAATAAATGTTTAGTTTTTTTTAGCTTTTTATTCTTCAAAGAATCCTTAAAAAAATATATCACGGTTATCACAAAAATATTAATCAGCATGACTGTTTTCAGCATCGATAATAGTAAGAAATGTTTCTGGAGCACCAAATCAGCATATTAGAATGATTTCTGAAGGATCATGTGACACTGCCATCACAGGAATAAATTACGTTTTAGAAAACAGTTCTTTTAAATTGTTAATATATTGAATATTTCACAATATTTACTATTTTTACTGTATTTTTGATCAAATAAATGCATCCTTGGTGACCATAAGAGACGTCTTTCAAAAAATGGTACTTAGCCTATACTTTTTGAATGGTAGTGAACACACTAACATGTCTCATCACACATGAGGTGCATTAAGACTCGCCTGTGCTCCTCATCCACAGATGCAGGCAAAGTTATTGGACAAGCCATTGCCGATATCCATCTCAGAATACAAGAACCATCCGCTGTACGCACTAAAGAGGCACCTGCTAAAATACGAGGCCATCTACCCCGCTACAGCCGCTGTCCTGGGGTACTGCAGAGGAGAGCCAGTTTATTCACGGTAAACTTTATATAGTTTGTATGCTACAGGTGAATATATGGCATCACAACGTTATAATGTACAGTATGAAAGATAGATGAATATTCCTTTGTAAAACAACTTTAGAAAAAACATACAGTTTGAATTATAAAATGTATTATTACAGATAAATCATCAATTATTTTCATGTTATGATCAAAAACCAGTAAATGGCTGATATTAAACTCTATTCTATTTTGTATAAATAAATAAAAAGTAAAACATTCAAATCTAAAACCAAAACATTTTAAATGCTATAAGTAAATTTAGACATCACAATGCATGTATAAAAATTGGTATTGGTTTTTATATTTGCTAAAGGTAACATTTAACAGTTATTATAATATTTTATAGTCAGTGTTATTTTAGTATTATTTATATACTATCATATTGTTTAGCAATATTTATTAAGCATTTTATATTTTGAGTTTTATTTACATTTTTATTTTAGTTTAAGTTAGTGTTTTTGTCATTTTTAATATTTCTATTTATCTTTATTCTATTTCAGTTTTGTAGTATTTTAGTACTTCAGTTTAAACTTATTAATTTCAGTTAGCTGCCAAGGCAACATTTTTTAATTTTCGTGTAAGTTTTTAAGTTTGTTTTTATGTAATATTTATATTTTATCTTATTTCAGCTTTATTTAAATTTCCAAAAACAAATTATTTCCAATTCAATTAAAAAAAAACATCTGTTTCCCAAATCTGAGATGTTAGAACAAATACAATTGCAGGCATTTGTGTTTATGGTGTTTAATTATTTTCAGAGAGTGTGCACACACTCCATTCTAGAGATACCTGGCTGAAGGAAGCAAGAACTGTTCGACTTGGAGAGGAGCCGTACAAGGTACGTGTATTTGACCTTTTTACAATAAATGACATAACTTTTTAAAGCTAATTTTTTAATGCTAATGTCTGTCAGATGGTGCTTGGTTTTTCCAGGATGATGTCCGAGCAGAAAGATGTCAAAGATCTGCCTCTCTTGGGAGTCTGGCAAACTGAAGAGTACCAGCCTCCGATCGCTGTTGATGGCAAAGTGAGTTCAAATTATTTTAAAGTATTAGTTCACTTCCAGAATAAAAATTTCTTGATAATTTACTCACCCCCATGTGTGTTGATTTCTTGTATCTGTCGAAGTTCTTTCTCTGTAAATAATGTTGTCGTTCACTACAGCATCACCATCTAAAACACTCTAGTGTTACAAAAATTTCAGCTTTACCTAACATTGAAGAAATATTTTAGCTAAGAAACGGTACTTTTGATTTTACAGTGAACAATTTGTGTTTTGTAAATATTCTGGTGATCACTTTTTGAATCTTTTAACAGAAACGTGAGAAGCGTGTGGTGGCTAACTGGACACTGCTGGTCAAAGGCCTGTTGATAAAAGAGAGGCTGAAGCGTCGCCAGTGTTGCCAGATTGGAAATGTCCAAGTATCGTACCAGAAGCTAAAAATTATCATATTTGGAAGAAAATTATCGTACACGAGTAAAAACGTACAGAATACAGCTATTTATCTACTAGACTAGAACAACAACTTTTTGACACAACCTTCAAATCACCACAATAAATAAATAACTATGCTAGGGCCCTATGAAATACGTTAAATGTTTTCCCAAATTCCATTTTTTTTATTCCAAATTAAAAAAAAATTGGATTCTGGTTTTTTTTTTCCATTTAAATTTTTCTGGACTCCTTTTTAAATGTTTTACTGTCTTTAGAAAAGTTTAGATGATATTTTCTCTTTTCATCTTGCCTCTGTATAATGCATATTAAAGTTCATGTTTACAGCGGAAACCAAGGAAACGCTTTGAGCGCCACCTGCTGGCAGAGAGTGAATCTGTGTCTCATTCAGCTCTGCTGTTTCGGTTTCATGCAGATATTTTTTTATGTATAGTTTCACAAAACTGAAGTCAAACCATTCTGTTTTTACTTCAAAACAATAAATAAATAACTATGCTAGGGCCCTATGAAATACGTTAAATGTTTTCCCAAATTCCATTTTTTTTATTCCAAATTAAAAAAAAATTGGATTCTGGTTTTTTTTTTCCATTTAAATTTTTCTGGACTCCTTTTTAAATGTTTAAATTAAATTTTATTAATCTAAAGCACGTCTAATTAAATAATGAAACGTATACAATTCAACATCAAATCTATTAAAAAGTTTAACAAAAATTACATGTTTAGGGTCTTATGAAATGTTCTATTTTTTTCACCTCGCGTGCTTCAGTATGTGTGTAGTAAACAAAACCGCGTGACATTCATTCAGACCATAGACTATGATTCAGACAGACACAGAACATGCAGGATTTATATTTAAATAGCCTTTTTGTGACTTAATATTTACAGATACTAGTCCATATCACGATTTAAGTGTAATGACCTTCCTTTGATTAATTCATCCAAACTTTGACAAATTCCGTGACATTCCGCGTTATACAGTACAATTCCGTTGACTGGATTCCGCAATTCCATCCGTGTTTTCCGCATCGCGGAAATCATAGGGCCATAGGCGTACCTTGTGGGAAGGTCCAAACTCCACCTCTGAGTCGCTGTCATCAGAATCCTGAGTGTTGCCAGATGTTGAGGGTCCTGAGGTGTGCACCAACCCATTTAGAGCGTCTGTAATGAGCCGATTTCATGGCTTTGTTTTGATGAGGTTGACTTTGGAAAAAACATGTTCTGAAATTTCGAAATGATCGTACATTATGGGATTTTTTTCATTATTGATCGTACATCGTACAGAGGTCAAAATTATCGTACAAATACGATAATTATCGTACGTCTAGCAACACTGAGCGTCGCTATGGGCAACAGGGGCTGGCATCAGGGGCGGGGCTTAAGCAAGGGAAAGAAGGCGGGGCTGAAGGACTGTCCTCAGATGAGGAGGAAGAGGGCGGGGCTCAGACAGCTCCACCCTCTCTGGTTAGTTCATGGCTGCAGAACAGGCAAGAGGAAAAGATTTTAAGGTGTGTAACTAAACGAGAAAAATGTGGAGAGGAGAAACATCTCTTCCCTTTTGAAAAAGTGTGACTAAATCGGCCCTTTATTATTTCACTTTCCTTATCTTCCTTTTAAATGTTTTTCTGCATTTATAAGCATGTATTATCTGTAACTGTGAGCTCTACATCACTATACCCAACCTTTTATAACGGCAAGAGCTGCATATGCAGGGAATTTTGAAAATGTCAGCCATTTATGTTTAGTAATTTTTACAGATTGTATATTTGTTTTTGTATACAAATACATATTTTTATAGAACATGCTGATGAAAAAAACATGCAAATAAACAAATGGTATGTTGCAGCTTTTTGTGTCTGTGAATTATGGGTTCCAAAATAGGTCTAGTTAGAGTCTTTCACTCTTTGTAGGTGTCACCTGGTGATCTGGTCATGCACAGAATAGCACTTTTGGCTATTGATTGTGAAAACAAATTTCATTTGAAAATATTTTTCCAACATTATACAGTTAATTGTATAGTTCATATTTTAGCAGCACATTATTTACCATTTTTAAATTGTCTTTAACTTTAATGCAACGTTAGTGATAACTATTAGGTCTAGTTGGTTGGGAACTTGGTTCTTCTATTCAGTGATTGTTAGTTGGATTTTGAATCACTAATGAATTTACAAAAAAAATATATATATATACAGTATATATATATATTACAATATACAATAATGTGCGTTTCTGTTTTATTAAAAAAAAAAAGTTTTTAGACTGTCACAACTTACCTTAACATGACAGATAAAATAGGCCGCCATATTAAACTAAAGCGTTTGAATACGCAAAGGCTAATGGAATTAAAGGGTTTTCTAAAATAAAAAATAAAGCAGTCTATTATGCTACTGGTTACGTTTTAAAAAAGAAACCATGCTGAGAATCACACAACCTGAAGCTCCTTTCAAAAACATGGAAAAATATGGAAGTGTGTTAGACACGTACACAGTTGGATTCAAACGTGCACACACAAAAGCAATCACATCATAGAGGAAACTGTGTTATTGTGTACTGCATATTGTACATTGCACTTCTGTTGAAGTGTTACAATTATTTACATGTTTGCACTTCTGTTGAAGTGTTTTAATACTTTAAATGTATGTACTTCTGTTGAAGTGTTTAACTTCCTTAAATTTGCAGTTCTGGTGTTTTAATTATTTATGATAATTACAATGATGAAAATATAGTATAAATGAATTCACTATCAGTGGCACAATCCACTAGTATGCATTCATAATTGGTATAAAGCAATAATTTTATGAATCGTGAGTTGAGTGAATCGTTACATCCCTAATATATATTTTTTCCCCCAAATTTGGCATTTCCTGTTGAAACAGGAAGTGGCTACATTCATAATAGCTACTCTTACTTTTTATGACAAAGATATTACAGAAAAAGTACTATTTCGAATCCACTCTTGAAGCAGGTCATTTCCAAATATTTTCCTACTATATATATATATATATATTAATTTATATTCCTTTTTTGTTTGTTTCATCTTTATTAACAAAACAGGCAGGTCTTAAAGGTATGAACTTGTAATGAAGGCGCTTTTCTCTGCTTGCCTTTGTACCTAAGTTGCACATTGCAAATCTGGTTTCTTGATTTGTTGACCTACATTTGCATAAGCGTGCGCGCATGTGTGTGTTTTACTGCGAGTATGTATGTCAGTTTTGAGTATAGTGTCTGTGTGGCCCCTCCTCAGTAACAGAACTCACACTCGAGCACGGAAGTGACGCCACTCTAGAATCCCCCCGTACTTCCGATCTTTAGCTCTGCTGCGACTCATCTAAGCGAACGGATCCGATCTCTGTCCCAATAGCCAGCGTCGAGTGGCGGCCCGACGCGGTCCTGCAGGTGAGTAAAGTCAGTATGTTGGGTACGACGGGGGGCTTTAAACGATCAGAGAGCAGCGGCTTTGGCGAGCGAACCAAAACGGCCTTGTTTACATACGAATCCCCGAGCTGGAGTGCGCGCTGGCGGATGATTGCAAATAAAGCCCTTAAAGCGACATTAAACGACCCGTGCATTCACTTAAACAAGTTTAATTGGTATATGCACTTTAAACTGCGGGATATGCGTAGTGAAACAATCGATATTCAGAGGAATAAAGCAGGAGAGAGGGACTCTGCGCATCGATCGCGCTGTTGTATGTGTGCTGCTGTAGAGAGAAGCAACAGCTGGTGCGGCCCGATTCATATGGAGTAAACAAAGCACAACCCATTCTGTCGGTACTGTGAGTTTGCAGTCCTTGCTCAACCCCCCACCCGACCCCTACGCACTTAAAACATGATCCGTAACCCAGCTGAGCGTGATAACATGCGTGCTACCCAGCGTCGCGCTCTATTTATAGCCCCGAGTGGAATGCTAGGGACAGACAATGCACGAGCGCGTGGAGACCTTCAGGTCGTCCCATGACTGTGGGGTTCCGACCCACCCTGTACTGGACGGGACGGTTGCTCACCGACCCCGTGCTCACGTTGAATTTAATGTGCACTGATAGTTTATTCAGTTGAATCGGTGACTGTCATCACATCATCGCAGAGCTCTGATCGCTCACGCGGCCTCCCCTGCTCCTGCTGTCCGGTTGGACTGTCAGTACACCGTGTAATCCGTTAAAACGGAACGCTAAGCCTCTCTGCATGTGAGGTTATGATTGTCTTACGCTCAAAGAGATGCTTGGCCACTGGTAATACTGAGACAGACGTCTACAAGTACAACCTTCAGATAGTTTCCAAGGTGTGTTGATCTAAAAAAATATTGGAGCAGCTCCTTGACCAGTGGGTCAAGCTCAGTGGGTGTCATTGAAATGAACTAGCAAGGCTTTGTAGCTGGTTGGTTTGGTTAATTGCTCATATCTCTTTATTTAAGACTTTAAAAAATCCCTATGGGGAAAAATACTGTAGGATCAAAGGCCTCAGAAAAAGTGGTTGGGTACTGTTACCCTCTGTTACACAACTTGGGGGAATCCTTGATTTTGATTGGTCGATCACAGGATTCAACTGTAGAATATTTAGAGTAATT